TCATCTGAAACTACTGCAGGCGTCGAGGGCAGACTTGTCCGAACGAATCACTCCTCCACCCCATTTCCAATGCCCATACTCTTGCTCGGTCAGACATTCCCGAGCGAATTGCGTAGAGCTTCTTACTTACGCTGTCGGGCAATTTGAAAGAAGTGTTGATTGCAGTGGAAGACGTCCCGTAGCCACTCAGCGCGCTCTTCTGCGAACTGCCATCTATAAGCCTATGTGACAGCTGCATAAGTCACGTCCTTGACTTCATCAGTTCCAAAGGCCCTTGTGTTGTGGTGACATCCGCAATAAGAAGCAATCCGCGCCAAGGTACAACACGGTCAGCAACAAGAGTAGGTGTTCCACTGATGGTATTGTTCGTCATAAGATCTGATCTCATATATCATACATCCTTCAAAGCCACGGTTCCCTGCCCGTGGGCCTTGGTGCTCTTCCGATCCTCCAACAACCTAACCCTTCGAACCCGCACTTACTTGGCGTTGTTCTTGGGCGCCTCGGTAGGTGGTCCGTCAGGCGTGGTGTAACACCTGGTCATACCACCATCAATGACGAAATCGGTGCCGTTGACGAAGCTGCTCTCATCGCTGGCAAGGAAAAGGACACCCTGCGCCTGCTCGATGGCCTCACCGAAGCGACCAGTGGGGAAGTGGACTTCGCGACGGTGACGCTTAGCCTGGTCGTCACCAAGCCAGTCTTGCAGGAGTGGTGTGCTGTTGCTGTCAGTATATCACAGGTAGCAGATGGTTGGGAGTGAACCTACTTCAACGGTGCTGGGCATAGCGCGTTGAACCTGAAGCCCTCACGTGCGTGAACCATAGCCAGCTCACGTGTCATGGCCAGTACGGCACCCTTGCTGGCGGTGTATGCGAGCTGGGGTGTTGCGCTACCGACCAATGCGACAACGCTGGCGGTGTTAATGACACTGGTCTTCTTCTTGCCGTTCTTCCTGAAGCTGTTGACTGCGTGCTTGCAGCCGAACCATACACCCTTGACGTTGATGGCTTGTGTCAGGTCCCAGATCTTCTCGGGTGTGTTGACAGCGTCATCGTCGTCTGAGTGCATAATGCCTGCGTTGTTGAACAGTACATCCAGACCACCCCATGAGTCCACGTGCTCAACCATAGCCTGCACATCGGCCTCCTTGGAAACATCGGTAATCTTAGTCTCGACCTTCTTGGCCTCTGGGACTATCTCTTTCAGCTTGGCCGAAGCCTTCTCCAGGGCTGGGCCGGAAATATCAGAGAGGAGGACATTTGCGCCTTCCCGAGCAAAGAGAATGGCAGTTTCGAGACCGATACCGCTAGTTGTTGTCAGCAGATAGTTGCGAAATGCGGCATGAATCTCTGCGTGCTGCTCCCCGCGTTGAAAAACGAACACATCGGCGTTGAAGCCAGTAATGAAACATGGTCAAAAGGGTGGATATCTGCAAAAGAAATGCTGGTAGGAAATGTGTCGTGGTACGTGCGGGATCGGTGCTTACCCAGCGCCTCCAGTGATGATGCAGTTCTTGCCTTCAAGACGACCCATGTTGAATGTTTGGTCTGTTTATTGTGCTGATAGAAGTGTAGTGAAGGTGCTGTAATGCGGTCAATGGATATGAAGGGTGAGGCAAAGTTTTGTGGAAGCTGTGAGATATGACTAATATTTTGCTAGAGGAAGCGTCATGAGAACAACACGCGGACCTGTGAATGGGGAAGGTTTGCCAAAGGCGCAAACAGTACCAGTCTCCACACTCACCTATGAATCGGACTTTGCAGTGCGGGCTGGCGTATGAGGAGCGTCGTCGGAATGGAGAGTGCGAGGAGATGGAGATGACGGACGGGTAGTCTCGGACAGCTCACAAGTCATTCAAACATCAAGGGTCCCGAAATCGGCCCATTGCATTGATAGACTACGATAAGGGCGGGCTATCGCGTTGGCGGCTGTCATCTTTGGGCACACGACGAAGGAGCGGTGGGCGAAGGCACGATAGCAGCCTCGAATTAACAAGTGTCCTACGGCATGGATGCGCCAAACGCCGTTACACGTCAGGGCTGATGAAGTATGGCCACTACCCCGCCATGATGGATGACGTGCGTGTTCGCTCGTCTCTTGTATGCCGGCGCATCATCACGTTGTCGCATAGGGATTCATGTTGTCGCATGGGGAGGGTGTCGAGGTGTCGCGTAGGAGAGAGATAGCACACATACGCGTGACTATGCAAGATATAGCCTGTACGCGCATGCAAGGCCGGGCTATGATGTCGTTGGATGCATCGCAGCCCGCATCCCGATAACCCCTCATTGGCCCACCCCAGCTGTCCCGCCTATCGCATCCCAAACGCCTTGGGCCCTTAAGCTCTCTATCCGCGCAAACCTGATTGCGACGCGATATCTCTCACAAACGACACGACGCTCCTTTCACTCACAAGCTTCAACAGCTACACTGCTCCAGCCCCCTACGTCCTCACCATGGCCGCCGAATTCGATGCCTCCAAGCTGACGGCCGAGCAACTGCCCGAACTCCTCAAGAATGACCTTGCAGTCAAGGTCGCGGGCATTGATGTCGACGGCGTCCTGCGCGGAAAGCTCATGGCCAAGAAAAAGTTCCTCAGCATAGCCAACGAGGGCTTCGGTTTCTGCTCTGTCATCTTCGGATGGGACATGCACGACCAGACATACTTCAAGGAGCTGGCCATCTCCAACAAGGAGAACGGATACCGCGACTTGCTCGCCATACCCGACCTGACGTCCTTCCGGAGGATACCGTGGGAGGACAACGTGCCCTTCTTCCTCATCAGTTTCCACGACCCTGACACCAAGGGCACCCTCAGCGCATGCCCGAGAAGTCTGTTGAAGCGCGCCGTGGACAAGCTGAAGGAGAATGGATATGGCGCTATGGCTGGTGGTGAGTCCAACGCCAGTTGAAGAGCGGGTGCTGCGCGTCGTCAATGAAGCTGATGTGTTACTGTATAGCCGAGTACGAGTTCTACCAATTCCGCGCGCCTCAGAGCCACGATGGCTCAGAGAGAAACACGTCGAGCACCGCCGCCTTCTTGCGCGACAACCCCGTCAACTCGCTCCCAAGTCTTACCGAAGGCATGTTCGGATACAGCATCACGCGGCCTGTTCACAATCAGGAGTACTACTACGGCATCTTCAACACATGCGCCCAGTTTGGCTGCGGAATCGAAGGATGGCATACAGAGTCCGGCCCGGGTGTCTTTGAAGCGGTGGGTATATCGATCTCCGGATGCGGGCAAAGAAGACTGACGTAGCACAGGCTCTCGAATTCGGCGAGATCCAGCAAATGGCGGACAAAGCGTCGCTCTTCAAACTTGTCGTCAAATCGCTCGGATCCAAGTACGGCATAACACCATGCTTCATGGCAAAGCCGCGCGAAGGACTCCCAGGAAACAGCGGCCATATGCACGTCTCGATCGTGGACAAAGAAAACAAGAACCTCTTCTACCGAGGCGAAGAGGACAAGAATGCGCCGTATTCGGACATCGCGTACCTTTCGGACCTTGGTCGGCATTTCCTCGCGGGTTTGATCGACGGTCTCCCCGACATCATGCCTATTCTCGCGCCCAATGTCAACAGCTACAAACGGCTAGTAGAGAACTTCTGGGCACCTGTTACTGTATCATGGGGTCTCGAACATCGCGCCGCATCCATCCGTCTCATTTCTCCTCCCACCTCTTCTGGTAAGGCAACCCGCTTCGAAGTTCGTGTGCCAGGCGCAGATACAAACCCGCACTTCGTTCTCGCTGCCATTCTAGCTCTCGGCTGGCGAGGTATCGAGAAGAAGATGGAGATCAGCATACCGCCTCTAGGCAAGGGCGAAGATGTTGGCGGAGAGGCGGATAAGGGCGAGCGCCTAGCCAAGAGCCTGAAGGAGGCCACAGAGCGGTTTATGAGGAAAGAAAGTGTCGCGAGAGAGGTATTTGGCGATCAGTTTGTGGACCACTTTGGCGGCACCAGGCAACATGAGATTAGGCTGTGGGATGAAGCCGTGACTGATTGGGAAGTCAGAAGGTATATCGAGACGGTATAAATTCTTGATCGTGATTGAGGTAAGGTCGAGGAAAGAGGTGGAACCTGTTGCTATGTAACCTACCGTTGGCTCTATGATACCATATTCCTATCCGCGACACGCGTTATCTTGCATTGATCAATGCCGTTCCCAAGAGTTGAATACCACTTCCAAGACTTCAATTCTAGTAGCCTCGGAAGTATTAACGCCCAGAGGAATATATCCGGGAGAATTTCCCGGTGCGTCATTAGCGGCAACGAGAAGTCACACTACACATGCAACTACCTGATCCTACCAAGCACTCCAAGCTTCACTAGAACACACGAGGCTACCCTTCGGCGAGCACTGCGCCGAATACTTGAAGTCTGGGGTAGATCGCTGCTCACGATGCGGAGGTTTTTGATTGCGGGTGCAATTTTCCGGCTCAGGCGTGCAGGAAACTTGGAAGGTATTTAAGTCGACGACAAAATGAATGCAATGATGTTCTTGGATGCGCCTGTGTTGTCTGTAGATCAAGATGAAGGCAATCAGCTTCGTCATAGCGTATGTTGCCACGCGTGGAAGTGCTGCAGTAACTCAACGTAGCAACACAGTACTTTCTTCAAGTACGTCAACCTTGCATTCATACTCCACACCCATGCCTTCTAACCTTCTTAATCAGACGCACAGGATCTTTTCGACTGGTCCATGCACATCCAAGACAACCGCTATGACGCCTCTTACAACTTTATCCAATACTCTGACAAAGGACCATGGTCTGTTCGCTTCACAGCGTGGTATGTAGCCGGATTGTTGCACAGGAACCAGGGAGACGATGTGAAGCATGCGGAAGCTTCGATTAGGAATATGTACGTATCATTCGAACATAGGAGAGTCGAAAGAAAAGAAGCTGTAGACTGATGATGAGAACAGACTGGCATGTCAGATGACAGAAGATTTCGACGCTCCATGGTATGGAACATACAAATTGTCCCCCGATGAACCAGATCCAACGCCTGATTCAAAATTATACGTACCGAAGATATACGTACGTTCCCAATCATCTACCATCACAAGCCTCAACCCCCAAGCTGACAAAACACCCCCCAAAGACGACCTACGACCCCAACTGGCGCGACTTCATTGGCACACAACTAATCCAGATCCTCTCTGAATTCCCCTCCCTCCTCGCCCCCTCGCTCATAACCTCCATCGAAGACTCGCTCGAAGTCGCCGCCGTGGGCAGTATGCGCCGCAACGGCACTTACCCCACAATCGACGACAACCTAACAATCGGCTACACGAATCCAGCTATGATGCGCGCTCTCCTCTGCGAATACATCGGCACCCGGCGATCCAACTCAACTTTCACGTCTTTCGCGGAAGACCAAGGAAAGAAGATATTGCAGTTGTTCCAACGAGAAGGCGCGGAGACGGTTAGCGAGTACAACGCGCCTACGTACTATGGGATCGATGTCTGGGCCATGGGTGCGCAGATCAAGTACGGTGTTGGTAACTCCAGCATGACGAAGGCGGCGAAGTATATCCTGCCGCGGATGATGGGTGATCTGGCGGATCACTACCATGGGTATCTGGGGAATGTGGTAGGGCCGTATGATAGGGCGTATACAAGGGATATCACGCAGCATTCGTCTGTTTTGTCCTTGGTACTGTGGGGTCTTTGGGGCAGGGAGCGAACGAGCCAGCCGAAGAAGATGGAGGGGGATTTACTGTTTGATGTTGCTCAAGGGGCGGCTATTGCGCTTGTCCTGGGGGGTGTGGAGGAGCTTTTGCCAGCGGGTGTGGAAGAGGCGTTTACAACACGGGACTTCATCGGTGAGCCAAAGTGGCTGAATCGAACGGTCTGGGATGAGCTGGAAGGAGGTGAACCGAGGATTGCGTCCAGTTGGGTGAGCAAAGAGTTGATGATTGGCGGACAGCAGGTGGACGAAGATGTGAACAGAGGGGATCAGTTCGTTCCTGCTATTGTTCATTGGGCGGGTGATAAGGAGCATAAGCCTTATCCGCTTAATACCTTCTTCGCCCTCTACCCGTCTGCGTCCTCGATCCACGCTGTCGCCTCGCCGAATCATCTCTCCGTTAGCTATCCCAACCGGACGCAGGAGGGAAGCGATATCTTCACGTTTGCGCTGTCGAATGTGCCGCCGAGTTGGACGCTGGGAACCGGAAGACGGATTACGGGATTTGAGGATTTGCCGTGTGTGGAGATTGAGGTTGAGGCGGAGGGCTTGGTGAAGCAGAATGTGACATATGGTACGGCGCTGAGGAACCATCTGTTCTACAACATTTCGTATGTGGTTCCGGAGGATTTCGAGGGTGTGCCGAGGGTGGAGTTGGATATCAAGTATACCTGCTAGCTAGCTGGCGACGTATAATATATCGTGGCTACCCATTCGAAGGGCCTGAAGCTCTGGTCTTGAAGTTGTCGTGATTTGCTAACAAGTGATCCTTTTCGCCGTTGGAGATCGGGCCTTGAATGCTTGTCGCGATGTTGTGGGGTTATGGCTCAAGCATCAGACCTCTTCCATCGCATCCTTCTCATATTGCCCAAAGAGCTCTTCGACCAATCCAACGAACTCGGCCATGGCGTCTTTCTCTCCTTCTTTCCCCTCTCCTTCTCTTATACCCTTCAACTCCTCCATCGCGTCCTTGTCTCCCTTCTTCTGGGTCCAATACTCTTCCTTCTTCTCCTGCCCTCCATTGAAACCTCCACGTCCACCTCTCCAGGCTCCTCGACCCCTTCCTCTCATGCCTCTTCCTCGTGAGGCGTTTCGCTCGAGCATGCGCCGCCGACTTTCAGCTTCGGGGTCTGGCTTGATGGTCTTGGCGTATACGCGTTGAAGTGACGGGAGTAGTGCTGGGTGTGTTTTGAGTAGCGCTTGGAATTTAGGATTCGTTGCTAAGACGGCGAAGTCGGTGCGCTTCTTTAGGTAGCGCGGTACTGGGGCGGGAGGAGGTGGTTGCGGGAGGGCTGGCTCTGCTGGCTTTGGGGCGACTGATGTGGTTTCAGGATGTGTTGTCTTGTGCGATTTGAAGCATGACAATGAACAGCTGTACGCGGTCAGCATTGTAAGTCCAGGAGATCACAAATGGCAACGAACTATGGAAGCGCGCAAGTCGGGCACTTGTATTTCTTGGGTTCTGCGTTGCAGACGCCGCAGAGGACTTCTGACATTGTGCTGTTTTTTGGAGGGAATCGCGACTCCAGATTTAAGAAAGAAAGACGAATGTGTGGCGTATGGATGGTGGTGCTGGAAGTATCGAAGATGACGTCCACAATCACTCGCGACTTTTGCGCTCCAAGACGCGTTCCTAATCGGGCTAAATCCCGCGGCGAACTTCCATTGCTCATCACTCCGCCGAGGTTTCCTCCATTGGCTCGTTGACTCTTACAACACAACATGTCTGCCGCATCGCCATTACGACAACTTCCCTCGCGGTCGCTGGGATCCTGGACCTGTCTATCATGCTCCCGATCGCTCAATAGGATACCGCGCGCCCGCAATCCCGCCTTGACTGCACGAAGATGGATGAACAGCACGAATCCCGCGCGGCAGCATGGCACCGTGCCAAGAATGGACCAGATGCATGCGCAATATAAGATGAAGAACCGCACAGTCATGTATGTGCAAGATTCTGTTGGCAGAAAGCGCAATTGCTGACCATAGTATAGGAACTATGTCTTCAGTGTGATAATAGGCTTCACAGCGCTCAGTTATGGCTCAGTGCCGTTTTACAAGATGGTATGATTATAGATCACCCCCCCTGTTAACAGGACCCAAATCTAACACATCCGTCAGATCTGCCAGGAAACTGGTTGGGGAGGCCAGCCTATAAAGTCAGCGGCCCACGGCGGCGATACTTCCGTCGATCCCTCCGAGCGCCTAAAGCCCGTCGAACACCACCCACGTATCCGAATCACATTCAACGGCTCCGTATCCGACGTCCTACCGTGGAAGTTCGTTCCTCAGCAACGCGAAGTCCGAGTCCTCCCCGGCGAGACCGCCCTCGCTTTCTACACGGCGACCAACAAATCGTCAGAGGATATCATCGGCGTAGCTACATATTCTGTCACACCAGGACAGGTCGCCCCATACTTCAGCAAGATCCAATGTTTTTGCTTCGAAGAGCAGAGACTAAATGCTGGGGAAACGGTGGATATGCCCGTCTTCTTCTACATCGATCCTGAATTCACAAAGGATATTAACATGAAGGGTATTGAGACCGTCACACTGAGCTACACGTTCTTCAAGGCGAAGTACGACAAAGACGGACATTTGACGCCTGTTCCTATGTGAGGAGGGATCGGGGTATGTACGATATGTGTACACAATACGTGCGGGAAAAGAATCCACAATGTAAGGCTGATGTAGGAGTGCTATTCACTGAGCACCACAACCCTTTACCTAAGTCATTTTCAAGCCAATTTGGGTTCGATTACAATGACAACTTGTGCCGTTCACTATACTACCGTTGTGAAATAGCATCGATCTATACAGTGCGGCACCAACTTCATAAGTATCTGGCCAATTTGGACGGGCAATCAATTTTACACAGAGCAGGCCTCTCCACCCTCAACTTCAGACTCCACAGTAAACCCTTCTCTAGGAGCTACTCGCTTACACATCCTTCATGGATAGACATGCAGAAGAAGAGCTTCGGGAAAGCTATTACATCCACTGCCGCAACAGGGGCTACACCATCGACGAAGCCTCTGAGCGCAGCCTCAAATACGTCGAGCGTGTTCTCAACGCAGATTCAATCATCTCGAAAAGATACCTAGAAGAGCTATATCAAGCGAGTATAGCGCACCATGGGTATTCATCGTCTCCACTCTCGTATGATGATGACCCGCCGATGCATAGCTCACGGAGAGCCAGAGATGGCGATGGATACGATGCTTTTAGTGGGTTCTCCGGTATGATGTGGAGTCTTTTAGACCGCAATGACAGCATATTTGCAGAGATGCGAACGCAAGCTGAAGAAGATTGGAGCATACCAAGTGTACCAGAATATCGCGCTCCTCGGTACTTCCCTTTCCATTACGACCACCAGAACAACGATCGAGAGCCACAATGGCAACACGCTGAGGAACGGAGTACACCGAGCTATCGCCGTCCAGACTACATCCCTTCTGCCTACGACTATCAGAACCATGCTCAGCAATCGCGAGAAAACTCCGATAGATATACTGCTAGAGATTCTGGCCCGCAGCGTGCTTTCTCTTATGGTCCACAGCGTGCATCCTCTTATGGCCCGCAGCGTTCATCCTCTTATGTCCCTCGTAACCATGCATACGGCTGGTCTTCCTCCAGTAGTCAAGACCGCAGGCCACCTCCAGGCTATCGGTATTGGACTACAGAGTCGAGTCAACCCTCGTACTCTTCATCGCCCCCCAGCTACACATTCTACTCGTCGTCCGATTCGTACCCGACCAACTCTTCTTACTCTTTCCGCCCTAGTGCTCCACCTAGAACCTCTTATGTACCACCACCACCACCACAGTCATCATCTCAACGCCCAGTCACGCCACCTCCGCAAGGCATCAAACCCGCAACGGATCTTTACATTGTACTTGGCATCAGCCGAAGCGCCACAGCTGCTGATATCAAGAAAGCACATCGTGCCATGAGCTTGAAGTGGCATCCTGATCGCTGTCGTGGACAAGACAAGAAGAAAGCTACTGAGAAGATGGCGGAGGTTAATCAGGCGAATGATGTGTTGTGTGATGAGGTTAAGAGGAAGTTTTATGATAGATGGAGGGTATTGCCTAGTGAAGTGTAGAAGATTATGGAAGAAGTTTTGAATTTGGTGAAATCCTTGATTGATGACAGCAGTGGCTTGCTTTATCGATAGGAAGCCGACACTCGTGCCCTACACTACTGCGATTCCAGCTACTCAGTTTGGTGACGAAAAGAAAACATCGGCAGTGTCCCTGCTACTCTTTCTCAAGGTAAGAGTAGACCTCAGAAAGTGAATCGGCTTTTATCGGGCGTACCTTGACCATCGCCCTCATCCCATCCGTCAAAGCGTCTTTTGGACATTCTTCGAAGAACCTCATCCAGCCAGCTCCCTTCTCTGAGTCATCCCAGGCCTTGTGTGCAATATTCTCGGCAATGAAACGTCGTAGTGGAGATCCGGAAGGAGTGCCATCATATAGAATGCGGACGCTTTCCGATCCCATAGACTTCCGAAAGACGCCCACGAGCCCGTATATGACCTTCATTACTAAATTCTTGTACTTCACATCCATCATCTTCTCTCCGAAGACGTATGCTTGTGCAAGCAACACGTAGATTTTGTCCTTTTCTTCAGTCTTCTTCTCGGGCGTGAGGGCGTCTGGCGGTAGGACTTGACTGATCGCAAGCTTGTCACAGTAAAGCCATTTGACGTAACTGATGACTGTGTCCGCCAAATCTTCCGGAAGGTTGATGACTCTCTCTTCTTGGTGGGTCCATTCTGGCTTTACGGCGTTTTGGAAGAATTTCGAGCTCTTGCAGAGAACACCACGGTGAACTTTAAGATGAGTCGTCTCTCCGACATAACCCGGTACCACCAACTCGATGATTGCGTCTGTTGGACTGCGTCGGTTAGTAAAACTGAGGAGACAGTCAGAATGCAGTATATTTACTTCATGTTGGCTGCTTGGTGAGGTCGTGGATCTGAGAATCTGTGGACGCGCATGCGCGATGTGTCGTAACGGAAGGAGCTGGCGCTATGATACGGCAAAGACGTCAAATGTGAAGGTAGCGACGCCGACAATGGAAAGTGCTTTATGTGGGGCTGCACGTGGGCTGCGGAAATTGGCGGTGACTGCCTGTTCCGGTTTGGGCAATCGAAGTGTTAATGAATGGACTGGAAGGTGACAACATGTGTGAGCTACTTTGAGACACATAAGATCCCGTTTAATGAGACACTGTCTATCAATCGTGAGAGATGTGAGTTCACTTCATTACCTCCACTATAAACTTAATACTGAACACACAGGTAGCACTTGCCGTTAGTATGAACATACCCGGAATTCGGAGACGCCGAAGGTAGTAAGCAATGGACTGAACGGGTACGTACGCTACGCAGGATTTGCCCGAAGGAGGTGGGAACGAGAGAAGATAAGATCGATCTAGCGCTCCGAATAGCACGTAACTGCTTCCCCCAGCTTGCAACAGTCGATGTCGCCATCGCTCTACTTGTATTTCGAAATCGTAGACTTCGGCTGTCGCCACCGCAGGGTAAGTACACGCTTTCGACTTGATGTCGACTTTATAATTATTATCAAAGAACTAACAACATCAACATATCACTAGCCTCTTCGAACAAGAGCCGCCAGCATGGGCAGAGAAGCCAGTTGAAGTTCATCGATACTGGACTGCTACCGAAGCAGCCAAACATCGCGACATAGCTCCCAACGGACAGAATGACATCTCTCTTCAACTAAATCCAGAAGTTGCACTCCTACACCGCATCTTCTCTCCTTAAAGACAGTGGTTCGGTTTCAGGACCAACTTCCAACAGCAAAGAGTCCTTCTCGTCGGCCACGCTAGCGTATGGGCGTTCATGACGGCTTTTGCTTCCACTATGCGATGATGGTTGAGGTAAGCTCGGGGAGATCTTGTTTTCGGACATGTAGTTGGAAAGCCAGGTATGTTGAACCAAGATTGGGCGTTGGTATGGAGTTTTGCGCTCTCTCTTGGTGTGCTTAGGCCCGGCGGGTCGAACACTCGGCGCGTCTGGGGTGGATTTGGTTGGCAAGACTTGAGGACGCGTACGGGACGATGCGCTCGGCTTGGAATCTTTAGGATGACGTACGGCACTCCGCGCACTACTCATGTCGTGTGCACTGCCTGATCTCGGGTCCAGTGTCTGTACTGAGGCGAGAGTAGCTGCATCACGAGCAGCCTTTTCCTTGCGGCATTTTTGTAAAAACTTGTGGTTTTCCTTAATAGCCTTGATCCTTGCTTTCTCCCATTCCTCTTTTACTCTGCTATGACGGCTGCTAGTCAAGAATAAGTAGCCTTGATCCTGAGAAAGTCTAAATATAGTCTTGCCAATAACTCCGCCGTAGTCAGCGATATGTATAAAAACTAAGGGAACAGGCAGCTTACTGCGGCGACGCTCGCTGTCAACAACATGCCCATCTGTTGAGAGAGGACCTCGAGCTTTTCCATGACATTTCATCGCCTCTTCATCAGTAGTAGCATTGCTTGAATTCAAGACTCGGCTTTCTTGTTTGGGTATCGATGTCCGCTTCGACCCAATGCTCTCCTGCTTTGTGCCAGGGTATCTCTCGACATCTTCTTCATCCCAAAGACAACCACGGAGTGTCTCAGGGTACCGTTCTTCGGATGAGGTTCGTTTGTGTGCCTCTTTTCGCAAACGATCATGTTTTTTTAGCTGCTCACGAAACCGGTCGCGTTCTGGATCATCTAGCAGCGCATCGTCAACAAGAGACCTTCTCGATGACCCTGTTCGAGGCTCAAAAGGTTGGCGCCGTCTCGGTGTCTCCGCATGCGTGAACCCCGGATTACGGTATTCTTCCCATTCTCGTAGATGGGCTTCATATGCTTCACGGTTCATGGCGCCTCGTTCGGGAATATAGTGGTGGGTGTGGGGATGTCCAGCAGAGCTTCTCAAGGTCCAAAATATTTTATATCACGTCCAAATGAGTCCACCGCAGTGAGTGACTGGCTCAACTTGGACGACTCATGGTCGTTGACGCATCTGTGAAAGTAAGAGCAACTGCGTCAAGAATTTGTTTATGCTGCGTCTTCGTTTGACGTATACTGGTGTATGACTGTAGACGAATTGTATCACTCTGATAATGTGCTTGTCATCAGATAATGAAGAAGAGACCAAACGGTGAGACCACATGAACCCAGACAGAGATCCTTTCGCGGTATCTGGTGATGTGAAAGATATAGCGTATATCGTAACTGTGCAAATCGCATGTCTACAGGTGGTCGGCAATTCGGTGAAGCGCTCCGGTGGGAGGCTGGCAACCGACGTTGACCCATGAGCGAAATTCCAGTGGCACATCAAACACGCTGCTATTCATTTTTAGGACAAATTTTCAGAACAATGCTTGCCCACTGAGATATATTCTATAGCTCTATCTAGTGCTGCTGCCTTGCCCCCAAAAGAGCTCCTACACTAGTTCAAGCAAGATCAGGACATAAGCCCGGTCTCATCATAAAAGGCCCTCTTGTCTGCATCAAGCAGTACATCCTTTGTAGCATTAAGGTACGCTGCCTTTCTTTGGTTCTCCTCTTTGACCTTATCACCGTCCGGTAAAGAGTTACATTTGTCTGGATGACACTTCCTGATCATCTTGAGATAGGCTTCCTTGACCGCCGCTGTATCATCCGACCGTGTGACGCCTAGAAACTCGTAGAGATCTTCCGGCGGCTTTTGACCGGGGGCCATACCTTCGTCTGGGGATTCGCTCGATATGCTCGGCGGTCTGGACTGCTGAGGTCCTGGAGATGGGGCTCTAGTGAATTCCTCGTCTGAGGATTGCTCCAACACAGTCTCGCTGACCTTCGGCCCACCACTGTCCTTCGTAGGCTTTGTTGGAGTATGAGAACGGTCGCTTGGCTTATGATCGCCAGCGGACGCAAAAGGAGAATCCGCTTGATGAGTTCCTTCAGTTTGTGAGTGTTTACGTGGTCTGCGACTTGAGCCAACGAATGAAGGTTTCTTGTAATTGATTCTTATGCCGTCCTTTGAAACGTAGTACGCGTCCTGCTCTTTGCTCGTATCATGTAAGGCGCTGGATTGGTATTTGGCGGCTCCTCGTACTGGGGACTGGCCGCGGCCTGAGACGTCTTTACCGTGACTTTTACGAGACTGCGTATGCCGACTTGATCCCCCGGTATGTAGGGGGTGCGCCAGTGGTGGATCATGGGCCTGATGTGTCGATCGATCATGGATCGGTGTGCGCGCACCGACATTCTGTCGAGCATCTGCGTGCAGACTCTCACCATCGTGATAAATGACCTTTTGTCTAACTTGGGAAGGCTTTTGACTTGAGTGTGCCTGACTAGTCCTATCGTTGGATCGGTGCTTTGAAGTGCTAGTGGGAGCTGCTTTCGAGGATGCTGAACATCTGACATGATCTTTACTCAAATTAGTGAAGCTGAACACGATTCGTCTTATGCAGTTACAAACCTTGAATATCTTCATCAGCAGTGGCAGCGGCATAGTGGAAGGTCGGAGGGTGTGAGGATGTGCCACGAGTAGAAATGTGGACATCTACCAAGGCTTCCTGGGTTTTCCGCTCCTTCGCCACTTCTTCTTCGTAAAGACTACCTCCCGGATGGACCGAATTTTTGGCTGGACGGAGATGTTTCTTGATACTGTTTCGAGCGTGTTGCAAGGCCGTCTCGTGAGTGTCTCCACGATCCCAATAATGATTGCTGTGGATCTTCGTGGCGTGATGTGCATGCAGTGAAGCGTCTTCTGGAGGACAATTCGCCTTGCGTAAAAGGTCATAAAAGTAGCTAATTAGCCTTTTCGTGAATTCCTCCCGCTCGCTCATGATCTATCGCTGAGAGATTCCGTTGATGTATTTGTGCGACTCTATAAGAATGTTAATCAAGCGACCAACTGGAATTTCGAATTTATAAGAAACGCTGAATGAGTCGCATGTCGAATTCGGTGAGTGTTTTGTCTGTCATAGAAAAGAAGTCACACTGTGTCAATAGATGCTGAAAACTACGCAATCAGTAGCTCTGAGACTCAAAGCCTTCCATGTTTGTAATCACATGACCTCCACTGTCATATCGTGTTGCGCCAGTTGTTGGTCTTCTTGCGGTGTTTGACCTGGATGGCGCGACGGACATCACATGTTGACGTTCGGTCAGGGTATCGAAGCTGTCAAAAAGACGGGTGAGTACTTCAGTATGCAGAGGTGTGTGGCTAAGAACATTTTCTCTCGCAGGGTAGTGTGGGCTTTTCGAGGAGGGCTTGTCATACCATAGCACAGTATGACTGCTCGTATGACGCATATTGGTGTATGACTGCACGCGAACGTTATGACTCCGATGATCTACTTCTCATCAGATATCGGCTGAAAAGGCTGAATCGGATAGAGGAAGAGACCCTGCGAAGATGCGTGCAATTCCTGGTCCATGAGATTGCGGCGTTTTCAGGCGCATGAAATGCCTGATCCTTTGCGCCACCGCCAGACGCCCTCACCTTTGGGGCCAACAACAATCGCATTGAGCTTGGACTCCAGAGTTTAAATCGATTGCAGCGGTGACAAAAGCCCGACTTGAAATGCCACGTATTTTGCGCCTGAAAATCCACCTAAATGGGAGGGCGCAGCGCATATTAGATCCGCGGAGCAACTCACCGTGGACCGTGTAATCAGTAGATCCTTGGACGCGACCCTTTTGGGTGAAGACTTAATGCTTGTGGTGTTCGAATGTCATCGTGCGTTGAAACTTGCTGAAGTAGTGGTAAGACATGCGCAAAGGGCAGCCCCTTGCTGCAGCCCTTTGTCTTCGCATACGCCCCTGCCCTCAGTTTCGGCCGAGATTTCTGAGTGCAGATTGGTCCAGAGTCGATTGCGCTGCAGGAAGAGAAACATTGCCGAGCTGCCACAATTGTAAATTTAGCAGCCGGCAGTCGCTTCTGTC